GATGGTTGGGATGACTCTCACGGTAACACCCAAGCAGGTACTGCAACGAAAGCATATGATTATGCTGACGTAAGGGAAGGACTTTCGCCTCCTCATGTAGATGGTCCACTGGTGTCATGAGGAGGCACCCTGTCGCAGTTCTCAGGGCAGCGTTCTGGCAGGTCTGGATATTCTTCCACTGCGTAGCACTAGTATTCGCAGACCACACTGGAGCCGCATAGTTGACCACAGACCGACCTATCGCGTTATAAGAGGTCAACAAGGTTTCTTTGTCCGCACCCCAAGAGCTGCCGGCTAGCGCCTTGAGGACCTTGTTCCTACTTTTCATCTTGTCGCAGGTAGCTGTGGCTTGCGCGGACGACTTGAACATGCTGTCGAACGTTACCCCAAGAATCTTGGGGTAGTTCGTGGTCGGTATTAGATTCCCCTCGACCTGAACATTCAGCTGTGTTCTCATCTCCGCAGACCATGTGGTAAAGAGTGTGGCCGTTGATTTCGTGGCGGATATTTCCATATTCCTCGCGTGGAAGTATGCGGCAAGCTCCGCGAGATAGGGGTTCAACCTTTCGCATATGTCATCGACCACTGGACCCGACGCCATGATCGTACAATCATCCGCATACGTTACGATCTCAATGCCGTCTGGAGGGCGAGGAATTCCGGAAAGGTAGAGGTTAAACAGTTCCGGAGATATCACCCCGCCTTGGGGAACTCCCTGTTTCACTCTACGGGCTTTGGACTTCTTGTTCCGGAATTCCACGTACGACTGGCGTCCACACATATAGTTGATTATCCAACGTTTCAAACTTGGCCGGAGGGTAGTTCTCTGTACGTCCTCAAACAGTGTGGCATGATTGACCGTATCAAATGCCTTTGATAGGTCAAGGGCTACCAACACTGTAAATCAGATTTGTAATTGCTTTAGCTGCAAAATACAAATTGAAAATCCATCAAATGGATGCAGTTACTGCTTTCTTAAACGGTAATCTAGAGAAAGAAATATATATGGAACAGATCGAAGATATGAATGATCGAACAGGTAGAGTTTGCAAACTTTAAAAGTCCATATATGGATTAAAACAATCAAGCCGTGTATGGAATGATACTATTAACAAAGTTTTGTTGAAGATGGGGCTTACTCGATTTGAAACCGATCAATGCATTTACTACAGAATTCAGAAGGATAAAATAACATACATCGCGAATTACGTAGGTGATGTTTTGATTTTGTCAAATAAATCGCGTCACATTGAACGTATTAAGGAATCTCCGAAGAAAAATTTTAAAATGCATGACTTGGGTGAAGCTTCTTCAATGTTGGGAATATTTATATTTTCTCGAAGAGACGAAATTAGAATTCAAAATTCAAACAAATTGTTATCTTATTTATTAAATCCTATACGTTCAATTTTAAATAATAAAAATATGATTGGCTTTATCAAAAGCTTTGCTGAAATCGGTACAATAAAAATTGTATAAGATTAGTAATGTTTGGGAGAGAAAAAATACAGCTAAAATGAAAACCATTATATGGGGGATGTTGTCCTTCATAAGATGTTGTCCTTCATAAGTAATTTTTTGTCATGGGCTGTAGTATGCAATACGAACTTTAAATACGAAAATGTCTCTAATATCATAAAACTGGAAATGATTCCGGTGAATATTACCGCTAAGATCATCAAAATACGAAATAAAGGGAGGTGTCGTTATTTGTGGTCTATATGAAGACGTGGACCTACATACACAGGGTGAGATTAAAAAACTGCAACAAAGTCATAATTTTTACATTTTTTTATACCCTCCACCATACTATGGAGGGTATATTAATTTTGTCATTCCGTTTGTAACTCCTCGAAATACTCACGTCAGACCCAACAAAGTATATATATTCTTGATCAGCGTAAAATTCTAAGACGATTTAGCCATGTCCGTCTGTCTGTCTGTGTGTCTGTCTGTCCGTCTGTCTGTCTGTTGTAATCACGCTATCTTTCGAACAAATTGAGATAGAAGGCTAACATTTTGCACACATGTATATTTTGCCAGTAGGCAGGTTAAGTTCGTAAATGGGTTATGTAGGTCCAAGTTTTCATATAGCCCCCATATAACGGTAACTCTCGATATTCGGTATTTTGATGATTTTAGCGACATTATTCACCGGAATTGTTTCAAATTTGGCATTTAAAGTTCGTAATGGATACTACAGCCTACGACAGAAAATTATCTGTGCAGGTCCACGTCTTCGTATAGCCCCCATATAACGGTACCCCCCGATATTCGGTATTTTGATGATTTTAGCGACATTATTTAACGGAACCGTTACAAATTTGGTATTTGAAGTTCGTAATGGATACTACATCCTAAGTCAAAAAATGAGCCATGTAGGTCCACGTCTTCCTATAGCCCCCATATACCGTACCTCCCCCGATATTCGGTATTTTGATGATTTTGATTTTAGCGACATTATTTAACGGAACCGTTCCAAATTTGGTATTTGAAGTTCGTAAAAGATACTGCAGCAGAAAACAGAAAATGGACCATGTAGGTCCACGTCTTCGTATAGGCCCCATATACCGTACCCCCCGATATTCAGTATTTTGATGATTTTAGCGACATTATTTACCGGGATTGTTTTAAATTTCGCATTTGAAGTTTGTAATGGATACTTCAGCCCATGCCAGAAAATTGTCTGTGCAGGTCCACGTCTTCATATAGCCCCCATATAACGGTACCCCCTATATTCGGTATTTTGATGATTTTAGCTACATTATAAACAAATTTTTCTTCAAGTTTCTCATTTAAATGTTGTAATAACTTATGACAAAATTTGCCTATGCAGGTATACGTCGTCGTATAGACATTCGGTATTTTTAAGATTTTAACAGAATTTTTAAAGGATTTTTTTTTTTATTTTATTTATTTATTTATTTTATTTTTTTTTTTTTTGGAAATTGACAAATTTGTACCAAATGGTGGAGGGTTTTTTACTTGTTAATTTTATTGAATGAAAGCAAAAATGTCGGATATAGCATCAAATGGCACGAATTATGGCCTTCAAACGGCCTATGAAACCGTCACACGTCATTTTGGCCCATTCCCGGCGAAGCGCCTGCTTGAGGTGATCGGAATTTTTTAGTGCCAACCTTGCTTTAAAAAATACTCCAGACACAATAGTCGAACGGATTGGTATCCGGAGATTTTGATGGCCATTGTGCGCTGAAAATGAAGCGAGGAACCTCATTTTGTAACCATTCTTGTGTAGCGCGTGCTGAGTGCGATGGTGCTGAGTACTGTTGGAATATCCAAGGTCTGCGGCCAAAATGTTTGCATGCCCAAGGCTTTAATACACCCTCCTGAATATTTTCGCGATTATATTTGGTATTTATTCTGATGTCACGAGCGGAGAGCGATCATCGACTGTTATGTCAGCCCATGCAGTTTTTTTTTTCATTTCACCCTGCACTAAAAACATCAATACACCGAATATCGGGAGATTTCGTTTTATGGGGCTATACGAAGACGTGGACCTACTGAATTACTTTAAATGCTAAATTTGGAACCACTCCGGTAAAAACTGTCGCTAAAACCATCATGACTGCTATACGAAAACGTGGACCTACATGGCCCATTTAACAACATAAGCTCCCTACCTGCAAAATACACATGTATGCAAAACGTTAGCCTTAAATCTAAAATCGTTTTAAAAATAGCGTGATTACAACAGAAATACGGGCGAACATATCTAAATTGACTTAGAATACGCTCATCAATAATAAATATACTCTGTTGGGTCTAACATGAGTATTTCCAGGAATTTCAAAGGGAATGACAAAATTAATATACCCTCCCTCTTAGGTGATGCACCAAAAATAACAACACATTCGTATGATTCGTATACTGTGCATTGACATTCTAATGCAGTGCAAACAATGGAGATCGAAATATAATAAATAACTGATAAGTGTGGCAATTACTTTTGCTTAATGTTAGTCTAACTTTGTTATAATTATATAACATAATGTTCCTTAACAAACCGGTTTTTGCTTAAATCAAGCATTATTACGATTATTCCCTTAATGTATGAGTTAGCATCATACATAACTATTTGCACATATATATGCTATTGAAATATTTACATTCTATCTCTTGTTACTGGCAGCCGTCGCATGACCGTCAGTAATAAACATATATACGTTGATTGGCTGTTTTCTTTGTTACGTGTACTCTATACCACTCGGGTATAGTTTGACGCCAAGTTAGACACTTTTTGGAAATATTATATATAAGTGTGTGTATACATTCTTATTTCTATACAGGGTTGCCAATATTCGACAGACCCATGACTCTTTGGGCCCATTCCAATCGACGAGGCTTGTCCGCAGGCAACATTCTTTGCATCAATTGAATTTTGTACGGGAACAAATGCAAATCAATTCGAATAATCCGTTGTAAAGTGGACCGAGCCATGCCCAACTGCTGAGAAGGGCGTTTTTGGGATGTTCTTGGGGACCTCTCAACACTGGCTCGTACAGCAGCGATATTCTCGGCCGATCGCCTTGGTCGATTTTATATGGCCTCTTCGGATTAGAAAGAGAAAATTTTTCGTATAAACGCCTAATGGTGTTCTTAGAAGGCGCACTTCTCACATTTTTTAATGTTTTAAAAGCACGTTGAGTTTTCACAATTGACTTCTTCTGTTGAATGTAAATTTCAGCTACTTCGCGTGGCCTGTATTGGTTCATGGCAAAAACCTGCTTGGACTTGGACGCTTCAAACGCGGTATGTCATTAAGCGATGTGACATCTCTGTCAAAAGTTATGGCGTTGCCAGATGGGTCCGATATATTGGGTTTTAAATTCAGTGCCATTCTAAAACTAAATAACTTCGTCGACATTTTAAGTTTCTATTGGTGGAAATTTTCCAAATGTTTCTGTGTCGACGCGACTACCTGCATTCTTCTACTATGGACAATACATATGAAACAACATTTCGTCTGATGGAGCCTTAGTATATAGTTGTTTGCGGATCTCAGCATCGCCGATAAAAACACAATGTTAGGCATTGGAATAATAATGTTATTATTTTGTTAGTTATTGTTGTTCTGGTTGTGAGTTTTAATCTTATGAAATTCGAACAAGGCAAGCAAGGAAATAAGAGATTTTGAAATTAATATTTGGTGCTGCTGATATAATTATGTTGAATGAATTGATAACATGGGTGCTTAACACCTATCTTGGAAAATATCTGGAGAACTTCAATCCCGCGCAGCTTTCAATTGCTTTAGTTTCTGGTGAGTAATTTCAACGATATAGTATCTCTGTTTAACGTTTACGTTTATATACAGGCGAGGTGGAACTAGAAAATGTCCCTATACGAAGAGATGCGTTGAGGTCATTTGGGATACCAGTTGAAGCTCTTTCCGGAAGTATCGGCAGGATAAAGTTACAAATACCTGTCAGACAATTTCGTACGTCACCATGGAGTATTGTGATTGAACGTGTTTATGGCGTTTTTGGTCCAAAAAATCTCGACGAATGGGACAATGACAAAGAAATGGAAGCCGAATATGCTTATAAAGTACGAGTTCTTGATGCCAAAGAAGCAAACTGGAGGGTAGAGAATGGATGCAAAACAGAAAGTTACTATTCTTTATCATATTCAAATTGGATTAATTATGGTACATCTATAGCAACTAACATACTTGAGAATTTGGAACTTACGATAAAAGACGTACATCTTCGGTACGAAGACCCTCTAACTATGCCAGACTTGCAACACGCTGCCGGAATAAGGATTAACTCAATTTCAGCTCAAAGTTGTGATTGCAATTGGGTGCCTAGTTCGAAAAATTCAGACAAGCAAAAAGTATCTTTTAAAATATTGGAATTAAATGATTTTCGTTTATATTGGGATAAACTACATTTAAAAAATGTCTGCGGAAGCGTAAATTCAAAGGAGCTCTTGGAAAAAATGAACGAGCTTTGCAATTTTGACCATCATAATTTTCTAACCAATTCAATCAACGCAACACTGAAATTTAAAAGAGAACGGTGCAAGCAACCTCTTAGAAGCAAAACAAGACCACGGGTTTCATGTGATGTTTTATTTCATCAAGTTAATCTTTCGTTAAGCGATGTGAGTATACATGTGCCGCTAATCTATATATATATATAAACATGTAAAAAAGCTGTAAGTTCGGCCGGACCGAACTTTGAATACCCTCCACCATTTGGAACGAGTTTGGCAATTCTCAATAACAATAAAATCCTTTAAATCTTAGAAATATCGTGCATTCATAAGCCATTACAATATTCAAATGCGAAACTTAGAAAAAAACTAGTAAAAAAACAGTAAGTGCGGCCGGGCCAAATTTTGAATACCCTCCACCATTAGAAAATTTTCAAAAAAAAAAAAAAAAAAAAAAAAAATCATTAAAATGCTGTTCAAATCTTTAAAATACCTAATATCGGAAGGCGCCTACATGTGGGGGGATATACGATATTGTGGACCTATATAGACAAATTTATGTCTGTGGGTAAAACACTCACAAAGGGTACCGTTATATGGGGGCTATACGATATCGTGGACCGATATAGCCCATTTTCGAACTTGACCTGCCTGCAGACAGAAGAGAGATCGGTTCAAAATTTTAGCTTCCTATCTTAATTCGTTTCGACTGTATCGTGATTGCAACAGACGGACGGACATGGCTAAATCGTCTTAGAATTTTACGCTGATCAAGAATATATATACTTTGTTGGGTCTAAAATGATTATTTCGATGAGTTACAAATGGAATGACGAACTTAATATTCCCTCCATACTATGTATGGTGGAGGGTATAAAAATCGGTGAATAATGTAGCTATAGTCATCAAAATACCGATTATCGGCAGGTACCGTTATATGGGGCTATACGAAGCCGTGAACCTGTACAAACAATTTTCTATCTTAGGATTTCGTATTCAATAATGTCGCTAAAATCATCAAAATACCGAATATCGGGAGGTACCGTTATATGGGGGCCATACGAAGAAGTGGACCTGCACTTCAAATATACATTTCGAAACAATTGCAGTGAATAAAGTACCGAATATCGTTATATGGGGGATGTATGATAACGTGGACCTACATGGCCCATTTACGAACTTAACCTGCCTACTGGCAAAATATACATACATGTGTGCAAAATTTAAGCCTTCTATCTCAATTCGTTCGAAATATAGCGTGATTACTACAGACAGACAGACCGACACGGCTAAATCGTCTTAGAATTTTACGCTAATAAAGAATATATATAATTTGATGGGTTTGACATGAGTATTTCGAGGAGTTACAAACGGAATAACAAAATTAATATACCCTCCATAGTATGGTGGAGGGTATAAAAAAGTTGTGTTAGTTACTACGCTTATACTTCAAGAACCGCTGAACTGATTTAAATGAATAAGACAAATTCGGATTTTTCTCTTGGTAGAAAAGAATAAAATACAAAAAAAAAAAATCGCGTAAAAATATGAAATTTTAAAATTTTCATATTAATTTTGAAATGTACAATCGTAATGTTTTATTTTCAAATGTACATTTGTAGTGTTTTTTAATTCTAATATGAGTAATAATTGGGGAGCATAAAACGACAACGGGAGTAAAAAAATTGCAGAAAAAAACCTCATTGCAAAAATTCTAAAATTGGGACCAAAATCGAGAAAAAATTTTCAATGGAATCTAATTTCAAAATAGTCAATAATTCTATTGACAAACTTCGTAAGGATCTTTAAACATTTGCGATAAAAAATCCGCGAACAAATTGAAGATTTTTCTTTTTTCAATTAGTTTTTCTATTTTTGTCAATTTTATATAATGTACGACTTTTTTCAATTTGGCTTATCATACTGAATTCAATTGGTTTTTATGAACAAAATAAATAATTATTTTCACCACATAAAAGAAAGTTATGTTAGTTACTACGCTTATAACCCAAGAACGGCTTGACGGATTTTAACAATTCATACAATTTTGGAATGGAATCTTGGTAAAAAAAAGCCTGAAAAAAATGTGAATGAAAAAAAATTGGCGTGAAATTTTTTCAATTTGACATACTTTATTGAAGTGCACATTTTTTATTGTTTTGAATTCTGAATTATTAATATTAAAAATGAGATGAGTGCACAATACGATGTTAAATGGCGATATTTCGTGTATAAAATTGGCATCTAGCTTTCAACTCCAGGACCAACATCGCGCTTCAGCAGAAAGATGCGAACACATTTAAACAAACGAAAATGACCCACAAAGCTTTACGGGGCTCATTTCAAAACGTGGACCTACTCCTTTCATATGACAATAATTCGACCAATGAGAACTCAAAATGCAAAATTGATTGGGACTGTAATCAGTGAATTACAGTATACAAATGGCGGAAAATAGTAGAGCGAATCGGACATTTGTAAGATAATGATTTCTATCCTTTTAGAAATTCGTCCTATACTTTCAAGATACCTTAAATCGTTTTTGCAGGTCATGATATGGGTCATAGCCCCCGAATAAGGATACAACCCGATTTTATGTATATTTTACATTTTGACCATATTTTTCATACTAATTTTGGCTAATATTGGTAATTTGAGAACAAACTATCCTTGCAAAAAATGATCATGTTTTGGTACAACCATTATATGATATAATCAATTTCCGGGGTCTTGAACACTTTTTTAATTTTTTCGGAATGGGACATTCATCAATTGATTTGACTAAAAATTGTATTTAGGCTACCCTTAATTACAGATAATTGTCCACATAGGCATTTATTTAAGTATGGTCCCCACATTAGTGTTCCCGCAAGTTCGCTTTCCCAACTAATGTGTGGTCAGAAAAGACAATTTTGACATCTATTGAATTTGTAGGCCCAAAGAGAATATTGGTTGGGAACGTAGATTTGGGATATGTCTATATAAAAAAAACTCCGAAATGTCAAAATGGGACTCATTCAGTCGGAGATCGTTTCAGAAACATGAAAAAGTAGCACGGTACCGAGCATTTGCTTAATCGTATTTAAATTTTACTGCCACGAAAAATATGGACTTCATGGGGTCTCCAACGCACAATTTAAATGTCAAAAAATATTCAACTTATGCTAATGGTTTAAAAGAGTTGTTATCTTTGACTATTCTGAAATAATTTTGGACAAAATCATAAGGTAGACAAAACCAAATACCACGCAATACGGTATTCTAAACGTTGGAAATACAAATTCCAAATTACAGCTCATTTGAATGGAAAATGTTGCTAATGAGCTGAGTTTTCACATGGGGCTATTACAGATGTTGTATATCACATAACCTATTTAACACTATTCAAAATATCTAAAACCGAGGATAGCTGAACATCTATTATAGTTTTTGCCATGAATATTTATTTATATTTAGAAATTACTATGGAGTCATTACTTACGATAAAAATTGGCATTAAAGACTAAAAGTATGGGCCGGCAACACGGACCAGGGACTCAATTCTTGTTCTATGAAAATGTGAAATGAAAACCTTTATAGAGGAAAGAAATGTCAAATGAAAAATATTATAAAGGAAATATTTTTCATTTTATAATTTCATACAACAAGAATCCAGCCCCAGGTCAGCTAGTCTTTTAATAATATTCGAAATCCAGTTATACTTCACATAAGCGCAAGTTGAGTTTAGGGGCTATGCTCGGATTGATCTGAAATTTTACCACGTGTAGAGCTTTTTAACCTGATTACGGCAATATAATTTTCTGTGGGGGAAATACCCGGTTACCCGTTTGTTCGATCCGAAAGTTCGGATACAAAATCCAAGTTTTATTCGGTTCTGAAATATACAAAATGGAGTAATACAAAAAATTGGTATTTTTGTACCCATAAAAAGTTGAAAATGGGTCCATTATGGGGTATTAAAAACTGCATACTACATTGTAGCCTACACTCAGCCCTTTCCAGAATGGTGCCATAGGTATTGATGTCTCTTGTAGTTCCGAAAATATTAGTGTTGCAAATCATGAAATTGAGATTTTCTCCACTAATATGTATCTAACCTTTATAGTTTTGTAGTTCCGAAGATATTGACTTTAAAGTCGAATTCCGGCTACTTACAAAAATTACAAAGTTTTTAAAAAACTATGGATCGCGTAGCCGGTGTTGGACATACGTCTGGGTAGAAAATCTCAAGTCCCGGCCGAAGGCCGTCTACCAACAAAAAATAAAATGTTTAGAAAAACTATGGATTGCGTAGTCGGTGTTGGACATACGCCTGGGGAGAAAATCTCAAGCACCGGCCGAAGGGCGTCAACGTAAAAAAAGGATAGATACATATTGGTGGAGAAAATCCCGATTTCATGATTTGCATCAGAAATATGGATTGCGTAGTCGGTGTTTGACATACGCCTGGGGGGAAAATCTCAAGCACCGGCCGAAGGGCGTCAACGTAAAAAAAGGATAGATACATATTGGTGGAGAAAATCCCGATTTCATGATTTGCATCAAAAATATCTTTAGAACTATAAGAGATATCAGCACATATACCATTTTGGAAAGGCAAGAATATAGGCTATAAAGTAGCATGTAAAACATTTTTTTAGGGGTTTTTCAAAATGTACTGGTATAAAAACACCAATTTTCTTGCATTACTCCGGAATTGGTTCCAATAACCCTATCAAATTACACTTGCTTTCAAATGTTACCCATTTGGTACATAATAGTTTTCTAGAACCGGATGTTGTATTCGAATTTTCGGATCAAATAGCCGGATAACGGGGTATTTCCTCAAGTTGCTCCCCTAAATCGAAAAACCAATATAAATATACAAAGGAAACGTAGATTACAGTGAGGCGAGGTCGACCAACTTACATTTCACTTCCATTTTTTCTAGTTAAATCGGTTGGTAAAAAGTCTTCAAAATTTCGTTAAGGTCATAGTGCCGGTTTCTGTTAAAGTGATTGCCAAAGATTGAAATACCAAATTAAACAAGTAAAAAAGCTGCTAAGTTTCTTGCCGAACTTTTAATACCGTCCACTATTTTAAAGGAACTTGTACAATTTCCATCAAAAAAATCGTACCAAAATACCGCTCAAAGAAAACCCGTTATGTGGCGACTATGCGGTGAATAA